AATGTCACAGAAAACGAAATAAAATAACACACGTCTATCAAAATCTACAAGGTTCTGGGTTCGTTGCAACATTGGCGATGCACCCAGGCCATACTTCCTAGCTCTGGACACTGTTCCTATTCTAAGATATTTTGGTAAATCAATTATTCGCCATAGATGGAAAACGTGATTGGTACGCCTGTCCATGAAAGTAAATCTCATGGATTTTCAGCGAAGTACGTACAGCGGCAGAAAGACTATGACAAATGGCGAAAAATTACTTTTCAAAGCAAATGAACACAGAAGCATTGCGCTAGCAAACATTGACACTTAAAGAAGCTAATACTAAGCTTCGTGCATCGCCTTGCCCAAAATATCTCTAAGAATTTGACGCATGCCTAAGATAGCAAGCATTCTGTATAATTTTTCTGTATTTACAGCGCTGGGATGAAAGCAAAAGCAAAGAAACCGGCAAACATTTCATCAAACATGCGAACCTTGTTGAATCTGCCACTCGAAGGATCCCAATAGCTCCCTGCTGCAGAGAAGCAGTAGCCAGTGAGCAACACACACCGGATGATCTCCCATGGAGGAGTGGTAGTTTTGATTGCTTCTAAATCATCGGGTTGGTCGGGTTTGAAAGTGAGTCCTGGAACAAAAGGGTAAAAGCTCATTTGATTTTGATTTTCAGTACGGATACAGACTGTGAAAGCATGGCCTATTGATCCTTTAGTGTTTCCAAATTTGAAGCTAGAGGTGTCAGAAAAGTTACCATAGGGATAACTGACTTGTGGTAGCCCAAGTGTTCATAGTGATGTTGCTTTTTGATCCTTCGATGTCAGCTCTTCCTATCATTGTGAAGTAGAATTCACTGAGTGTTAGATTGTTCACCCACCAATACAGAACATGAGCTAGGTTTAGACCGTTGTGAGATAAGTTAGTTTTTGATGAGCAGTGCTGTAATAGTAATTCAACTTAGTATGAGAGGAACTGTTGATTTGCACAATTGGTAATTGCGCTTGGTTGAAAAGCTAGTGGCGTGAAGCTACCATGCATGGGATTATAACTGAATGCCTCTAAGTCAGAATCTGTGCTAAATGTAGTGCTCTCTACCTCCTTAACTGTTACCTGATTAAGGTTAAGGGGGCCAAGAACACATGACGTGAGCACCATGTAAGTGGTAGAGTAGCTTTGCTGTTACGATCCATTGAGGTTCATCCCTCTGTCTTTTGTCTTAAACCCTAAATTTGGTGGAACAGTATTTAGGTTAAGGTTTAATGACATAGGAAACTTTGGCATTTAGTGCGATTGATGTGACATTCCATGGACTCTATCAGTGGAGGGTGGTGCTCTCACCCTCTCACATAAGGATTGTGCCAAACTCAAGGATGTCTCAAGGTGTCAATAGTTTCAAACTCAATGTGTCAGTAATTTATGTTCTAGAAGAGTTGCTACCTCCTCTTCTTCTTCTTCAGTTCTTGCAGCATATCTTGTTCTTGAGAGATTTGTGTTAGCAAAACCTTGAAATGGAAAACCTTGATAAGGTAAAGTATTATTTCCTGGGGTTTTGTTAAATTTTTGAGTTTGTATTTTGAAGTTGACAGTTTAGAGCTCTAAATTTTCTAACTTTGGATTCTCTATTTTAGTATCACAAATGGTCCTTCTCACCTTTATTGCATTTTTTTGCCAAGATTTTCAGCATTTTCTCTAAACCAAAGGACTTTGCCTTTAATCTGGAATTTATTACTTCTTTATGTGTTTCTTTTGCTTTGTGACAAGCTTAGATAGGTTCAAGAGTCTATAGTGTTTTTAATTGTTCTTTATTCAGTTTTTTAAGCCTCAAAAGTCTTCTTTTCAAAGACTTCTTTTGGCATGGGGAGCAATGGTACAGTGTATTCAAGTGGGAGTCCAAAAGCAAGTTAATTTTATAGTGTCTTTAGCTATTTCTTTCTTCATTGATTGTTTTTTTGCCTATTTAGTTATGTAATTTGTTGTTATCAAGACATATTTGTATCCTTTGCTAGTTGTTCTAAGGGGATCTACAAAATTTAGTCCCCATCACTAAAAAAGTTCTAATACCATTGTCAGATTGAGTTTTGTCTTTGTCTCTTTAAATGAAATTTAAATTTTTGGCATATGTCATATTAACAATAAAATTGAGCACAGTCTTTTCATAATGTGGGCCACCATATACCAATTTGTAAGAGTTTTTTAGTTGTGATTTCTTTTGCAAAGTGTCTGCTGGCTTTTTCAGTATGAGCCTCTTCTAACAATTTTTATATTTCATCTTAAAATTCAATACATCGGCATAAAATGGCATCCTATCTGAGCTTGTAGATCTTCTCTCCCATGGTTGAATTTTGTCATGTTCTCAAGATGAATTTCTTTCTATGGTTTTTATTAGTATTGACTCTAGGTTTAGATAGTGGTCAGAAAATATATATTTTGACTCTATATTTTGACTCTAAATCTAGAGTCAATACTAATAAAAACCATAGAAAGAAATTCATCTTGAGAAATATATATATATATATTCCTAGACAAGTTCTTTTTAGTCTCAATTGAATGCAAAATAAGTGAGTTAGATAATTCATGTATGTTCTCATGTGTATCTTCCCTAGTGGTGATTCTACTAGGATGATTTACTTGTTCATGTTGTTTACCAGGTTTATGGATAATGTCAAAGTTAAATTTTTGTACCATCTCATAATTCTTCCTATCAGGATTGGCTTGTTAAGGAGGTGAAGTAATGCCATATGATTGACCATAATCTTGCCCTTATTAGCAAGTAAATAGTGTTAGAATTTTGTATAAAGCATATATCATGCCAAATGTTTCTTTTTCTGTAGTTGTATAATTCATTTCTAGAGAAATAAGCCTTCTCCTTGCATAATAGATTTGTCTATATTTTTTTATCCTCTTGTTTTTTAGTAAGTATCACATTAATAGCATAGTCTGAGCCATCAACTTGGAATATAAATTCTTGATTCTAATTTGATTGAACAAGGATAGGAGTTTATATGAGTTTCTATTTCACCTTTTGTCATTCTTGTATCCACTTATAAGCTTTTTCTTTCTTGAGAAAATTTGTGAGAATTTAAGCTATCTTTACATAATCCTCAATGAATCTTAGATGGTAATCAATCTCCTCACTAAGAAGTGATTATAGGGATAAGGATGGGTAGACTCTAGAAATGAGAGAGGGGGGACTTAGCAATGGCAGCACAGCTACTGGCACTAGAGAAGTGGCACAAATATGAGAGGCTAGAGCTGTATATAGTGATGAAGAATCCTAGCCAAGGCATGGCAATCTAGCATGGAGATGGGCTTGTTGGAGTGCTCAGGTTCTAAGAGGAAGCAATGTGGTGTGCTCAGTCACTAGAAGACATCGAGGGGCTGGAAGAGGTGGCCATATTGAGTGATAAGATGCTCAACTATGGCAGGGGCTTCAGCTTCTTCCATAAGATCATTGGAGCCATTGTCATATTAAAGGGTGGCCCTATTTTACTCTCTAATCATTGAGATTTAGCCATGAATGCTCCTTCCAATACTAAAAAAAAGAGTTCTTTGTCTAATGTAATTATATTTCAATTGAGAAGTGAAATGGCCTGACAAAAGGAACTAGATGTTCACTCCTATTGTACCTCTAGTAATAACTACATTAGCAACTATTACCACCCCAACTACAGCTCCGACACAGCAGACACCAACTCAAATAGAGCACTAAATTCTTAGATGGACCTCAATCTAGTCATAGAAGAGTGAAAATCAAGAAAATCCACTTAAGACTTTCAATAAAGATTTCAACTCAAGCTTTTGAAATAAAAAAAATTGCATTAAGTGCACAGAATAAAATGGCATATTCCCATCATACATGCAAGATATAAAAAGAGAGGTGCCTTATATCCCACTTTTTACTTTAATTTTACACAATTACATTTCTATTTATTTCACTCATTATGCAAAGCTCAATCCTTTCCTACAACCTTCCCTTAGGATTGGGAGTTGTATTCTTTTTCATTTGTTTTATGTTTGTAGTTGAGACTTAAGATTTCCATATTAATTTTGAGAAGTAGGGAAAGCCATGCCTTTCCCACCCTTTTCCAAACACTGAATTGAATGTAATTATGAAATAAACAATAATATGCTTATCTTGCATACCATCAGGATACACATAATACAATCATGTCACATTATACAATGCAAACATTGGAGTAGTAGTCAAAGCCATCTTAAACATTGCAAAACTTCCACATAGAAAAACAACATTCTTCTTAAGAAGATTAGTTAAAGGAATAAAAATCTGTGAAAAAACTTGAATAAAGCGATGGTAATAATTTGCTAAACACATAAAACAACATAAATCTTGTATATCACGAGGTTGTGGTCAATCAGGCATAACCTGTGCTTTCACATAGCTTTTGCAAAACCTTACAAGGATCATTCATGTGCTTGTCCAAAGTAGCATTGTTGATGAGAATGTCATTCTCAAAAACTTTCACAAAATCATCTAAACATTCTGCAAAATTTGAATAGATTTATGAATATGGCAAGAACATTGGTTAAGCTAAAAAGCATTACTAAATACTTAAAATGACCATGCTTAGTTCAAAAAACAGTTTTGACAATGTCCTCCCTGACTAAGGATTTTGCAACAATTTCCCCCATTAAACTAGGAATGACAATACTAACACCAGACTGTAGTTACATTCTTAGTACACTTTTGAGTTCCTCTTCCACATCCACCAGCAGCTGATTCTCCATGGCAATGTTGAGCAAGCCATATGCCACAAGCTTGGAGATCAGCTTCACAACACTGACCAGGAACTGTCCGTGAACATCGAAGATGGTTGCACACTCCTTGCGCCGTGATGGAAGTTTTAGCTTGAGTTTCTCTGCTTCCAAATCCGTGATGTTATCTTGCGGTACTCATGGCTACGATGCGCTGCCAGTGCAACGCACTCAAGCGGGGCCTCGGAGACGATCTCCAAAGCCTCGGCCTTGCACAAATGCCCAGGGCGGAACCAAACCAAAATAAGCTTTTGGACGATTAAAATCATGAAATTTGGCAAGCCTCAATGTTAAGAGATTGCAAAGGTTGCCAACTGCCATCCAAACAGAGGATGGATCTCCGAGGCGTGCATCTCTTAGAGAAGCTGGAAGAAAGTTTGCTGCTAATGGGAAGCTCAGGGGTGGAAGAAAAACTTACTTTGCAGACGAAGAGGCCAACCTCGACATGCACTCTTCAAACCTGGAAGTGTTTGATCTCTCAGTTCCATATCAATGTTTATAGGAGTTTCGAGCATTGCGTTTAGAGCAAGCCTTTCTCTTGCAGGCTAGCAACCGTGTCCACCAGCATCTTCTCGTAGGGGATGAACTCCTTGATGAGGGACAGGATCTTCTTGTTTGAGATCTTCTCGAATGAGATGCCTTGAGTGGTCTCACCTTCACACCTGCAAAATCGAACGAAAAATATGTTTCATACACGAACGACCAGAAAGAATGGCTTACTTGTCTGGGTACGAGTATTGTGGGAATTTCGCCTTGAGAGTCTCGATCATTTCCTTGCAAAGCTTGGAGCACGCTACACAGAAGTAGCGGCCAGAGGCGTTGGGATCCTCGTAGCCGGCAATGTGCGCCTCCGCAACATCTCGCACGTCCACAAGTGCATAGTATGTGTTGGGATAGCTGGTTTTCGAGCCTGCACGAGAACAAAGTTCCCTTCTATCTTAAATCGAAAAAGAGCGAACTAAAACTGTGCGTTTGCACACCATTCAGCAGATTTGCCACGATTCCAACACTGGTGTTTATCTTGGATTGCAAGATGGGGCCGAGCACGAACACAGGGCATATCACAATAACATGGATCCCAAACTCGTCGCCAAGTTTGCTCACGAGCTTCTCCGACTCGGTTTTAGCAAGCATGTACCAGTACTGGAACAAAAATCGTAACAAGTTGAGAACTCTTTCCAGCTTCTGTTACCTGGTTCTTTCGGCAGGATTCAGGATCAGACCAGCAGCTCTCATCGATTATTTGATCTTGAGGATGGTTTGGATTGTAAGCTATGGCAGCTCCAGAGGAGGTGAACACAACACGCTTGATATTCTCCTTGTGGCAAGCTTCCATTACATTTCGAGTACCATCCATGGCGGGTTTTAACACGTCCTATTGGCAACAGTATGATCAGTGAGAATGAAAAAAAAACTCCAAGAAAGAAGAAAAACTCACGTCTGGATCCTCAAACTTTGGAGCAACGGGACAAGCGGTGTGGAAGACAACATCGCAGCCACGAACAGCGCGCACAAGCGAGTCATAGTCGAGAACATCAGCTTTACACAGCGATAATCTCTCGCCGGCGCCAGGGAGCTTCTTCAAATGCCCATACTTCTCATCGTCATCTAGAACCAAAACCAATCAAGCCAAAATGTGGCCAAGAACCGATCAATCCATCGCTCACCTGGATCTCGAACGGTGCCGTGCACCGTGTAGCCCCGATCCAGCAGCTTGGCGACGATCCACGACGCAATGAAGCCGCCGGCGCCAATCACGCAAGCTCTCTTCCCTCCCTCCATAATTGCAATGAAGCCCTAGTCAGTACTCTCATGAAGATATTTCCTCTCAGTCTTAGAAAAAATGGAATTTGGAAGCTCCATCAAACTTGATATACACGAGCTTCTCGACTTTCAAAAGGACCAGGAAAAAAGCATGTCCCACCGAACCCGTGTAACACGACCGTCCAGATGTGAATTAAATGTAGTAGTAGACATTATGAACTTACTCACTATGTATCATGTCATGACCATGCCATGGGCATTACATGGGTATATTTATTTTTCTGCTTTGATTTGACTTTTTAGGACATTAGGAAAAAATTAAATGTTGCAGAAAACTTAATATCTATTACAAGTTCATTAGGGTAGGGTTTTATGAATATCAGTTTCCCTAGTTGTAATGTGAAATGGTTATAATGATAACATTTTAAATTTTCCACACTGTGATCGTTTATGGGTTGATTTTCCTTCCAAGGATATTAATCCAAGAAAAGGTAAAGATTGAATCTCTTGTCTAGGCTTTAATATGCTTATTTTTGGTGTGGTTAAGATTGTTTAGTTCAGTGCATATTATAAAAAACCCAAAAGCCCCATATAAACAATTATGAAAGAGTAGGTTGTGTTAATTGATTATGCTATGGAAAAATCTTGGTTGTTACATTGCAAAAAGAAGCATTTAATAGGGGAAAAGCCAAATTTTTCATTTATGCAAGTTTGTTACCCTTATAAAATATTTTTTTTCTCAACAATTTTTATTTATAGATTGACAATCAAATTGAAAGTGAGATTGAAAATGATATTTCAATTGAACAAGACCAAAGTGTTGATCAAGAAAGAAGTGCTAATGTTAATAATATAAGTGAGGTAAAGTGTATAAAGGTTTCAAAATTTAGATGGCTTCATTTTCCTTTTTACTTTCCAGATTGACTCTAATCTAAACCTTATAGCTGTTGAATCTCTCTAGATCCTTCCACAAACCTAAAAAGGTATTGCTAAGTTTTATATTGATCTTGTTCGCATGGGGTAGATCCACAATTAATATCCTTTATTTTAACTTAATAGCTTAAATGTCATCTTATATCTTAACATAGACTTCATTTAACATTGTTTTGCATGCAAGAGTTGGATATGGGAAGTTGGTGTTTGTATATAACATACCTAAATTTAGAGCCAAACTCCACACCTATTACATTACTAAATGGGGGTCTGCTACACTCTCAATTTTACGAGCACTAGCTCCCTATACCCAACACTTGTATACAAAACAATATCAAATGGCATCTAATACAATTTTGACATATCAATGACCTAACATGAGGAGGTGGGTACCCTATCGACTAATATAGCATGGAGTTTGGGTTTAAACCCAAGCTGGACATAGAATAAGAGCAACACAACCTAACAAGAGCCAAACTAATGTCTTAGTTGCACCCCCCCCCACCCCCCCCCCCCCCCCCCGACTTAAACCCAACTCTGAAAATTAACAAAAAACATACTTTGTATATGGGAAATACATCAACTTCAATGAGTGGGGAAACTACCTTTCCTCTACATCTAAGGACATTAAAACTTAAACATCCTTTAGTTGTCACCAACAAGGAAATGACTAATAAAGTGAGCCACTTTTATTGATTCGAGCATCACTCAGCTTACAAAGGAATGATACACCCTTGCCTATAGGAATATAGGGAGAGAGTTAAAGGCTTAACTCTTTTGAGTAGAAATCAACCCCATCAGAAAGATTTAGACTAGGAGATGAAGTTGTTTATATGACCACTACCCTTTTCAAAAATGGGTCAACATAAAAGAGGCAGGGATTTGATAATGGTATCGATTGAACCCATATACCGAAGTGCCAAAGTCAACCCACCAAGATTTATCCAAAACTAACAAACAAGAGAAATGTTTAATGGAAATATATTACTTTATTGATTTCCAAGATTTATTATAAAGATTTATAAAAGTTACTTTTTATTATAATTCTCATACTCCATGACAAGCTTACAAATATGCGTAAGATTCCTAAGAAGCTCTTAAGTTGATTCATAAGTTGGGTAACCTTTCACACTTAACAAGATATTCCTTCACACAAACTTATCTTGGAAACCAAGAATCCAAGACAGTTTCAACTTCATACTTGGGTTCACTATCCACAACCTTTGATATTGGGCAAATTTCCTGTTGACGGTCAACATTTATAGTGTATGGTGCCAAAAGATTAACATAAAAAACATTATGAACATTATCTCCGCAGGAAGATCCAACTGATAGAATATATCACCAATTTGCTTTAATACTTGATAGGGACCAACAAATCTTGGTAACAACTTTTGGGATAAAGAGCTTTTAATATTCAAGTTTTGGGAAGATAGCCACACTTGATCTCCCACTTGATAGGATACATTCTTATAATATTGATTTTTATCATGTTGATACATATCTTATCCTTATTATGTTGATATGTATCTTGAGCTTTGCCCATCACCTCAATACCCCTAGACTAACCTTGTGCAGTTGCTCCACATAAGTCTCAATAGCTAAGACCAACATTTCAGACATTAGTTTCAGTGTAACAATTTGTTGAGGAACTCCACGAGCATTCCCTTGTAACATTTCATATGGAGGATAGCTAATAGCATTGTGAAATGTGTTGTTATAATAGATTTCTACTGTGTTTAAATGTTTAACCTAGTCGTGTTGGTCTATTATGACATAGTAATGCAGATAATCCTCAACTTGAGTATTCACATGTTCAATTTGCCTATTGGTTTGAGGATGATAAGCTATATTAAGCTTCAACTTTGGTACCGAATAAGTGGAATAATATGCCCTAAAACTTCCCTATAAATCTTGAATCTTTATCCGAGATCATTTCTTAAAGAAGACTAGAAACCCGTACTATTTTATGGAAAAAGACTGCTTGCTTTGCATTCATTATTTCCACAGTTAGAATAAAATATGCAATTTTTAATAACCGATCCACAACCACTATCAAAGTGTCATAACCTTTAAACTTTAGGAAACAAGTGACAAAGTCAAGTGTCATACTCTGAAATAGCCATGTTAGCTTGCTTTTTAGTTCTTTGCTTACACTGCTAGCATATAGGGCAAGACATCACCTTCCATACTAAACTAGAAAAATCCCTTTTTCAATGAGGTAAGAGTCTTTCGTTTACTACCATATTCCACTATCAGAACATCATGATGTTCTCACAGAATCAACTATCATAGGTCCTTGGACAACAAATACAATCTTTCTTGCTTATAATAAATAAATCTGTCTTTAACTGAGAAGTGAAGTTTCACAATGGTGTGACTAACAACTTTCACTACTTTGCTACCAAGGTTCTACTTCAACAACTCCATATGATGCAACATCACTTTTGTTAACAATTCGTTTCTATATGAAGCCCAAATATCCTCCAACTAATCTAAACTGATTGCCAACATTGCCTAGAATTGAGTTGATTCAATGCATCCGGAACAATATTGTCTTTACAAGTTTATAGATGATTTTAATATCAAATGTAGTGAGCTTCTCTTGCCAACAAACTTGCTTTGGCATAAACTTTGGTTGCATTGCAAAGTAGCTCAATGTGTTATTATTTATATAAACCTTGGTATGTCCACCCAAATAGTGTTTCAAATGTTTCAACGCTAACACTATAAAAAAACATCTCTTTCTCGTGTGTTAACCATCTTTATTGGGTTTTATCTAATTTTTAGAGTAAAAAACAATGGGACACTTGTGTTGCTTTAGCATAACACCAAATGTATTATCACAATCTTGCTGCAACACAACATCTATAACATAGCCAAATGCATCATAATGCACTTCGAAAGGTTTATTAAGATCTGGAATCTTGAGAATAGGAACCATAGTCAAGATCACCTTCAATCATACAAAAGTATATTGACAATTCGGTGTCCAATAAAACGATATACTACCCTTTATTAACTCATTAAACGGAAGAACAATACTTACATATGCAACCTTCATATGATTAACTATGTTTGCCACTATAAAATAGTTTTTTATATTGTAAATCTAGTCTTTCAAAACTTGACAATCTTGTATGCCTCTAAAATTAAGTGGTTTCAAGGTCTTGAACTTTGAAATTTGTGCAACTGGGGGCAATTGCAAAAATTCATCATCCTCAAAACTTGAAGAGGAGTTTGGTTGTTTAGATTTAGTTGGTTTAGTTGCTTTAGCTTCTTTTTTCCTCTTTTTGTTCTCTTTTTTTAATTTATGAATTTCTTTTTGCAAATTCTCGATCTCAATATCTTGAGTTGTACACTACAATGCTATAGTATTAAGCCCTTCAATTTTTGACTTAGCCTTAACCTTAGCCTTTTCTATAGCATCTTTGGTAAGAGTTTCCTCCTTTTGATTTGCCTATCTAAAGGTTTTAGCATCATCAACATAGATTCTTTTCACTATCTCACTAGTTTCTTGCATGCCTCTATTAATAACTAAACATGCATGCAATGTTTTTACCGAATAGTGGAATTTAATTAATCCTTCATAGGTCGTTTTGGATCTACTAAAAAAGTCTTTACATATGTAACTTGAGTCAGAAAATCTGATAAAAGTTAGATAGGAATTGCTAAGACATTTCCTCTGATGCCAAATGTAACACACTTAAATATGGAGCCGAACTCCAAATCCATTGCATTACAAAATGAGTGTTTAGTACACTTTTAATCATATGAGCACTAGCTCCCTGTACCTAGCACTTGTATGAAAAATAGCATTAAATGGTGTCTGACATAATTTTGGCATATTGGTGGGTACCCTACCGACTAGCACAATATGGAGTTTTAGCTTAAACCTAAGCTAAATAAAGAGTAACATAGTGGGAGCCAAATTAATATCTCAAGTGGTTGGCTATGCATTTCAACCCCACTATCCCTACTATACATTTAGAACCTCCTATAGCACACCCCCCCCCCCCGCCGTTCCCCCTTTAGAAACGCACACTTTGGGCTTTCACCTTAGTCCCAAGAGTTAATCTTTAAAACAAGCTTGAAAACTTACTAATTATGCAATAGT